GTGTGTGCGTTCATAGATTTGTTTATATTTACCTTGAATACCATACCTATCTCCTGTGTTTGCAGGGGTCCCTCTATCTTGGAGTCCATGGTTCTACACCGACCTTAGGTTTTCTATACCATAAGGGGCTTCCTTTCATGATATATCCTGGAGCTCAATTGCTTTGAGTGAAGATGACTCTGAGATCTCTTTGGGTCCCACAAAGAAGCACAGTCTGACCAAGGAAAGTTCAGCTTCATTGTGACCTCATTCCCCATCTACACGATGAGTAGAGAATCACCTAGATTTTAGGAGCAGCAAAGAAGTCACCATTCTGACCAGTAATGAGAACCAACCTTCCTTCCTTCCTTCCTTCCTTCCTTCCTTCCTTCCTTCCTTCCTTCCTTCCTTCCTTCCTTCCTTTCATGTGCCCCTTTCCTTCTCCCATGGCTTCTCTGCCATGTCTCTCTCCTCTGCATTTTCCCTACCCCCATCTTGCTGCCTGTTTATTTTTAAAGCATTACCTCCTAGGTCCTGATTGCATAGCTCATAAATATTCAACATTTCCTAGAAGCAACCTCTGAATGATATTTCACTGCTCAGTGTTGTTCCTTCATCTAATCAGAAATGGGGCTAGACTTTTCTCAGGGTCACCTGCCTCCACCCCTGAGCCCTGTACTTATCAACCGGGAGCCTTACGTTCCTCTCCATGATCTTAATCATAAGGGGATTGCCCACTATGACTTTGGAGACCCTCACTGGCTCCAGCCTTGATAGGCCCTGAGATCTCTGTCTCTCAATGTGAGAATTCTCAAATATCCCACGATGAGAAGTTTTACCTATTCTAGGGTGCTGACCCCCGCATTAGAAGAGGAGAAGGAAAGATAGGAACAGATCTGGAGTTATGATCAGGGTAGAGAAATTACAAGCACTCTGCTTGACCCATAGAAGACATTTAGCAAATATTTTCATTGTGTTGATTGATATCCTATATGCATATAAAAATGGAAAGAGGGGCACCTAGGTGGCTCAATCAGTTGACCATCCCAACTTTGGCTCAGGTCATGGACTAGTGGTTCATGGGTTGGGGCTCTGTGCTGAGAGCTTGGAGCCTGGAGCCTGCTTCAGATTCTGTGTTTCCCTCTCTGTCTGCCCCTCCCCCACTTGTGCTCATTTTCTCTCTCTCTCTCTCTCTCTCAAAATGAAATAAACATTTTTAAAAATGGAAAGAAAGGGGTGCCTGGGTGGCTCAGTCGGTTAAGCGTCTGACTTCGGCTCAGGTCATGATCTCATGTTCTGTGGGTTTGAGCCCCACATCAGGCTCTGTGCTGACAGCTAGCTCAGAGCCTGAAGCCTGTTTCAGATTCTGTACCTCCCTCTCTCCCTGGCCCTCCCCTGCTCACACTGTCTCTCTCTCTCTCTCTCAGAAATAAATAAAATATTTTTAAAAATGGAAAGAAAAATAAACTGAAATATAAGCAATGTTTGGTTAGGTGTGAGGGAATATAAACAATGTTTCCATCTTTTCTCCATTTAATAATATTTTGTTAATTAATAGTGGAAAATACAAAAGTATTTTTATTTTTTAAAGTTTATTTATTTTTTATTTTTTTTATGTTTTATTTATCTCTGAGAGAGAGAGAGCATGAGCAGGGGAGGGTCAGAGAGAGAGGGAGTCACAATCTGAAACAGGCTCCAGGCTCTGAGCTGGCAGTCAGCACAGAGCCCAAAGTGGGGCTGAAACCCACGAACCGTGAGATCATGACCTGAGCCAAAGTCGGAGGCCCAACCGACCGAGCCACCCAGGCGCCCCTAAAGTTTATTTATTTTTGAAGGAGAGACAGAGTGCGAGCAGGAGAGGGGCAGAGAGAGAGGGAGACACAGAATCTGAAACAGGCTCCAGGCTCCAAGTTGTCAGCACAGAACCCGATTCAGGGCTTGAACCGACAAACCACGAGATCATGACCTGAGCCGAAGTCAGACGCTTAACCGAATGAGCCACTCAGGCACCCCTAAAATTATCATTTTTAAAGTGTTAAGTAGAGGAAGGAAGACAGGGAGATTATGGGTCCAGGACTCTCCTCAGGACATAAAGCTCCTGCTTCAGAGCAGCCCAAGCCTAGGCAGCACCCAATCTCAACTACCCCCCATTGGTTTGGAAAAAGGCTCAGCAAAGCCACCAACTCTTTGCACTGGGGGGGTAGGGAGGGTGGAGGGGGTGAGGAGAGGGAACAGAGATGTGGGAATAGGACATAAATGCAGGGAATCAAAGAGTGGTAGGTCCTTTTGCAAATATCCTCCCCAAACTTCCCTCTATGACATTTTAAACAGATCTCATGCAGCCTTGGCTTGAATCCTTCCAGAGACAGGGGGCTTAAAGCCTGGCAAGGAAGCCTAGTCCATGATGAGGCAGCTCCAACAAAGAGAACAGCTCTTGTCTGCTGATATCTGCTACACTCCTAGCTGTGTCTCTAGCTGAAAAATTGGTCAGGAAGTGGTTCAGAAGAGAAATGAGATCAAGGAACAGAGGTAGAATCCAAGAATCAAGGAAAAGAAATCTCTCGTTAATAGTTGAGACATCCAGACTGAGAGCCAAGCTTCCCCTTTAACATTACCTTGAGCCATCTCTGCCCAAAACTCACAAGAGGACCTAGATTGGTATAGGTCAGGGATGGTGTGAACAGCAATGACTTGGGCCAGTGTCCAAAGAAGCAGTTTCATGGTCCCCATTTGGGTCCTACTTTGGCACAGCTTAGGTTGGAGAGGGGAGTGTGGCTCATTCTATGGGGCTATTTCAAAAGGCTAGGGCTGCTATCAGAGGAAGCTGTAAAAGTGTGTGTGTGAGGGGGGAGGGTCGGTGTGGGGACAGGGCCCATGTGTTTTGGGCTCTATTAACTAACTCCCTCCCATCCATCACAGCCTCCCCCCGGGCCGCTGCAGCCCTGGCAGCTGGGTCACCCCGGGGAGGCTGGGCTGGGGGTCCCTAAAGGGAGCCAGGCTTCAGGCAGAGGAGCGGAGACACATGTGTGCCTGGCTGGGTTGGGGCTGGCGCCTCATTGAGAAGGGGGCTCTCCAAGCTGGGCTTCATTAGGGCAGTGGCACTAATAGGGGAGGGGGTGCAGGGGGCTGGGCTGACAGCCAATTAGTTGCTCGTCTGCATTATGGATTAACCCATCTGGGCCTGGGAGATTGGCTCTGAAAGGGGCACAAAAGGGGGGGCGTGACCACAATCACACACTGAATTATCCTGTCTGAGCGCAATTGTCCACCAACAAACAGGGCCTCAGGATGGGTGACCCCCTTGGGTTCTCTCCTTCCCCCACCCCTCGCCTGGCAAGAAGAGCCATAGAGAAACTGCTGCCTAGTTATAAAAGCCAGGGTCTGGGACAAGAACAAGAATGCTGGTCCAGAGAGGCGGGGGATTTAGGGGAGGAGGCCTGGTTTGGGATGAAGTCAAAGAAGCCAGGAGCCAAGCAAAAGTTCTCCCCAAGACCCAACGGACTTTTGTACTTCACTCCTCTACCTCGGAGGGAAGGCGTGACCTAAGAAGTTCCCCTATCTGAAATACCGAACAGAACCAAAGAGTAGAAGGTCTCAGCAGGGTCTAGGGAAAAGAATGAAAGGAAGGGCCCTCAGAGTCAGGTGTCTCACATCTCACCCATCACCCTTTCTAAGGCTAATTGATTCCACACATGAATAAGGGGTTCTCAGATGGGGTCTTGGAGGACCCCTGCCCTGCTCTGGCATCTCTGATGCTCTCCCAGTGGGAGTGCCCGCACCCTCCCCCACACCTCCTCCTCCAGGAATAAGCCCACGTGCAGAGTGAAGGAGAGAAGAATGGGAGGGGGTGGCAGGCAGGGGGGCTCTCTCTGGCTAATCCCCTCATTACCATCTCATAATCAGAATCACGCTTTCAATGTAAATGGGGATGTTAAATATTGGTTTCTCTAGGCACAAGCTCCTTTGGAGAAAATTACTGATGCTCTCCTTTTGCCTGTGCTGGCCAGCTCCCACAGTGAGGGGGGTAGTGTGAGGCATTAGTGAGGGCTGGGGGCTTCACAGCCCAGTTGATGGGGAAAGTGGAGGTGTCTGACAAGACAGAGCAGACGGATTTGTTTTTAGTTGGCCTGGACAGCCTCAGTTTCCGTGATTCAGCAGAAGAAACTCATCCAGAGGAGACTGGCTCCTTTCAAACTCGTCAAGACTTTGTTGGAGCTGATTAGCTTCTGGTCTCACATCACTCTGGACTGGAGATCAACATGGAGTTGTAGATCCCAAAGTCAGATTATTGGGGTAAGGGAGGCATATTCATTAGGAGCTCAGGCACTGTTGCTCATTGCTAGAACTGCCTGGCACCCCGGGGGAAGTGACCTGGGCTTTCCTTCCAGCCATTTCCAAATACAGAGCACATCAAGTTACAAAGGCTTTTAAATGCAAAGCTTCGCGCCTGCATCAGTGCCATGAAATAGGTATATGGCTGTTATCAGTCCCAACTGGCAGGCTCAGCAAGCAACTCACTCAGGTTCACATGGGTGGTCCATGGCAAATTCACACTGTAACATGGGTCTTCTGAGTCCAGCCTTTAAAATTGAGGCTACTGGCTACTGCTCATACGCCACTTGTGGGGATATGGAGAACACTTGATGTGTCTGTAGTCTGACCATAGAAGTATGTGCCTGGAGAAGTAGGTATGGGGCAGGGGGTGGGGGTGGGGCCGCTCATACAGAGGCCATTTTCCGTTCTTCTCTACCAGCCCCTGAGGATGCAAGGCCACAGACCGTTGGAGAGGCCATCACACTGCCCATTCTCTCTGTTCAGGAGCTCCATCCCTCACTGCCTCCTCTCTACCCCGGGGTTCAAAACTGGGAATGAAAGAAATATTTTCATTGTTTTTAATTTTTTTAAATGTTTATTTTTAAGAGAGAGGGAGGGTGGGGAGGGGCAGAGAGAGGGAGACACAGAATGGGAAGTAGGTTCCAGGCTCTGAGCTGTCAGCACAGAGCCCCACACAGGGCTTGAACTCGTGAACGGCAAGATCATGACCTGAGCCCAAGTAAAAGTCAACTGAGCCACCCAGGTGCCCCAGGAATGAAAGAAAGTAATGTCAATATTAATAATGGTGGCTTCTTCTCAGGTTTGCTTAGCATTTTAAAGTTTACAAAGTTCTTTTCATGTATCACATGATTAGATCCTGGCAACCACCTTGTGAACTAGCACCATCGCTTAATGCTTAAGGACACGCGTTCTGTGGTCACACTGTGAGACCTTGGTAGCTGGGTCATCCCAAGCGGGCAGCTGGGTGACCTCAGGCAGGTTATGTCCCATTCCCTGCCTCAATGTCCTTATCTATGGAATACAGATGATAACAACAGCCTACTCCCTAGAGTTGCTGGGGGCAATAAATGAGATTACACATGCCACACGCTTAGTGTCTGGCATATATCAAGTTCTCAATCAGTGTTAGCCAGTTTGAAGGGGGTAATAAGGAGGATTACCCAATTTTCCAGATGCACAGACTGAGGCTCAAAGTACTAGGAACTTGATTAAGGTTACCCAGTTGGTAACGACAGAGCTGATTTTTAATTCCTGCTGGAAATGGAATCTGCAGGTGGTCTGGGACTCCTGACTAAACGTTCCTCAAGGTGGAAAGAAAAAGGGCGGGCGATCTTCTGGGGTCCTTTGTTGTGTTGTGGTTGGCAACGGCGGGTTCTTTTTCTGTTTAGCCAAGTTAGGCGCACGCAGAGGAAAAAGAAGCGAGTCCCCCGCTGCGGCCAGCGTGCGGCTGCAGCGACCTCTCCTCTCCCCCGGCCAGAGGCGGTGCACGCAGCCAGCGGCACCATGTGGCTTGCGTTCAGCCTCCCCTGAAAAGAGAGGGCGGGAGATGCCTTCGGAGGGGCTCCCTCCGGGGCCTCGGAGGTGGCTTCCGCCGCTCAGCTCCCTCCGTTTAGCTTTCTCCTCATTAACTCCCCGGCCTCATTAATCAGCCCCGATGAAATGCGCCCCCGGGAACGCGGCCGGCCAGCTCCGCCGTTTGGCGCTTTAATTATCCTCCCAGCGGGAGGAGGCGGGGTGGGCGAGGTGCGCGCGGGCGAGCGCACACACACACACACACACACACACACACACACACGCACGCACACCGGTCTGGGCGCGCGCGCACACGCACGCACGCGTGCACACACACCGATCCGCCCGCGCGCTCGCACGCACACACCAGCCCGGGGACGGCCAAGCCCAAGCAGGTCCTGGGTCGTAACCCAGCCAGGGCAGCCGACACCGGGCTCGGTTCCCAGGAAGCTTCATCAGTCCCAGGCAGCTCTAGCTTCTACTGGGCGTCTGTCGAATGAGTCTACTATAGAGTTGTCACTTACATCAAGTCCCCTTCCTACAAGGGGACTCTTCATTTACTCATCAAAGCCTCGCTGAGCCGCCTGCTGTGTGCTGTGGTTTTGGGTGCTGGAGATAAAGACACAGTGGCTGTCAGGCTCCAGGGAGTTCCCGCACCATCCTGGAGGGAGACAAATGGGAAAAAAAAAAAAAAAAATCCAACCCAACTTGAAAACGCAACAACAATAAAAACAAAAACCCACCATGGCAAGGTGATGTTCTTAATAAAGCAAGCACAGGATTCTGTGGCAGCGCAGAGCAGGAACGGGAATGCAGCCAGGAAGACCAGAAAACTTTCTCCTAAGAGGATCAAAGCTTGAAGTGGGACGAAAAGTCTAAATGGGAGTTAGCTGGTGCCGGAGTGGTGCAAACAGCAAACACAGAGAACAAACTACAGACAGCACTGTGGGCGCAGAGCCCTGTGGGTCATTTCATCTGGCTGGAGGACTGGGTCCTGACCAGGGGACAGCTCCCAGGTGATGAGGGGCCTCATGTGCTATGCAAAGGAAGTTGACTCAGATGTAACTTAAAAGGCAATGGAGGAGTTACAGATGGGTTTTAAAGCCAGACAGTGACATGATTAGACTAATGTTCTCGAAAAACCTCTTTTCCAGCGAGGAAGAGGATTTGGAGGAGGACAGGAATGGAGGTAGGGAGGCCAATTAGTAAGTTAGGTGACTGACGGGGTGTGGGAGGAGAAAGAGGGGGTTTTCACATATTCCCAAATTTCCTCTGCAAAGGGTGGTTGTGGGAATTGGGAGGAAGATTCTGTTGAGGTATTCCAAGGTGTCTGACTCAACTCAAATGAGAGAGAAGGCAGACTCCAGCTCCTTCTGCCCTCATGGGGGGCAACTAGAAGACTTATCTTCTAGTTAGACTTATCTTCTAGTGCTGGGTAAATCATTCACCTCATCGTCTCTCTCATCCATAAGAGGAAACACGCAATAGATTGGGTTTACAAACTCACATCTGCAGGGGCCAGGAAGATAAAAGAAAAGATCTAAGCAGGCCAGGGCCAGAATAAGTTCCCACTAAGGAGGGCAGTGCCCTTCAACCACACTACTCCAGCCATGCTGGAAAGGGACTCAGGATGACCAGATCATCTACAGGAAAAGCCAGAGCTCAATATTTTCTTTTTAAAGATTAAAAAAAATTGTTTAATCTCTACACCCAACGTGGGGCTTGAACTCAAAACCCTGAGCTCAAAAAGTCACATACTCTACCAAGAGATCTAGCCAGGTGCTAGAGCTCAGTATTTTTTAATATGGTATCTCCTAATTTAAAAATGCCCATGCAGGAGTGCCAGGATGGCTCAGTCGGTTAAGCGTCTGACTTTGGCTCAGGTCATGATCTCACAGTTCCTTGGTTCGAACCCCGTGTCAGGCTCTGTGCTGACAGCTAGCTCAGAGCCTGGAGCCTGCTTCAGATTCTGTGTCTCCCTTTCTCTCTGACCCTCCCCTGCTCACGCTGTCCCTCTCTCTCTCTCTCTCTCTCAGAAATAAATAAAACATTTAAAAAATACCCATGCAATCAAAACATACTTGGTTTGAAACACATCAAATATATTAAAATCCATGAATTCATAATGATATATTTATTTATTTTGAGAGAAAGGGAGCAGGGAGCAGGGGAGGGATAGAGAGAGAGAGAGAATCCCAAGCAGACTCCCTACTGTCAGCACACAGAGCCCAAAGTGGGGCAGGGGCTTGATCTCATGGACCCCATGAGATCATGAACTGAACCAAAATCTAGAGTTGGAGGCTTAACTGACTGAGCCACTGAGGTGCCCCCATAATGATATACATATTTTTTTAAAATCATTGCTCACCTTTAGATGATGCTAAGTAACCAACTCATTATTTTGAGAAATGAGTGAAGAGAGAATCAAGCATTTATCCTACCTTTCCTATTCAGGATGTACCTCAGGATTAACAAATAGTCGATGACAGGTTTTCTTTTCTTTTCTTTTTTTAAATGTTTATTCATCCATTTTTGAGAACAAGACGAGAGCACAAGCAGGGGAGGGACAGAGAGAGGGAGACACAACCTGAAGCAGGCTCAGCACAGAGCCAGATGTGGGGTTGGAACTCACGCACTATGACACCATGACCTGAGCTGAAAGTCAGACACTTAACCAATGGAGCCACCCAGGTGCCCCGAAGACAGGTTTTCTTTAGAGAAGTATTCCAGCTAATAAATGAAGAAGGAATCACAGGATTAGAATGTCACAATTTGGCAATCCTTAATGAAATAATGGGTCTGGGCAATGATCATTGCCGGATGCTAATATAACAACACAACAGACAAGCAGCCATTACTCTTGGGACAAACAATATTGCCTATGAAGTATTCGTGCAAAAAAAAAAAAACAAAAAGCAGGCATTAATTGATCAGGCTTCTATATCTAGCAACCAATTTACAGAAAATATAGGGGCAAAAGAACATGCTAAATGACACCATGGGGATACATTCTCACAGTATCCAGACTGTGGAAAACTCTACAGAACAAATGACTCAGGTTTTCAACAAATAAATTGCAAGGGAAAAAGAGAGAGATTAAGTGGAGAACATCAGGTTCAAAGAGTCATTGCACGGTACAGACTCATTTGGATTCTAATTTGAACAACAATACTAATGAAGAAAAATAATTGAGACAATTGGAAAGGTTTGAGCGTGGGTTATAGATGATGATATATTTTAGGCTGATAATGGTATTGTCATTACATTATGTAATGAGTCCTTACTTTGTAGAATGACATTGAAATATTTACAGAAGAAATATGATTTCCAAGATTTGCTCCTAAATCATGAGGTGAGCGTGGGGGTATAGATGATGGAGGTTGCCTTTGAATGGATAAGTGCTGAGGCTTGGTGATGGATATACAGGGTTACATTCTATTCTCTCTAATTTTGTATATGTTTATTACCCACAATATGCTCTTATCCATAATAGAATGTTTCAAAAATACTTTATGGGCCAAAATGTGTCTGTTGCCTGAATTTGGCTCATGGGCCCCCAGGTTGTGGTTCCATTCACTCTAAATTGCCCTTGAACCATACCATCAGTGGTGAGAACCTTTATTACTAGACCTCATCATCCCAAACCTTTTTTCTGTTCCCTTTTCAGCTTCTTTCCCAGAGGTGCCCATCTCCCAGGGAACACTTAATGGCGTGGCAAAGAGAAGCACCAACAAAGCCATGAACACTAGGATAAATTCCCTGGGACAGAAGACACAGGGATTAGGAGGCCTTGGAGCTGGAAGTGAAGAGCTGTCACAACCTAGTACCCTTCCTTAAAATCCCTGCCTGCTTATTCTCATATTCCACTCTTTCAACTCAACCTTAAAGGTACACACAACATCTGGCCAGACCTCCCACCTTTTTACCTCTGTGTTCCAGAACCCAAAGACATCCACTGGGAAGGAAGGAAGGAAGGAAGGAAGGAAGGAAGGAAGGAAGGAAGGAAGGAAGGAAGGAAGGAGGGAGAGAGAGAGAGAGAGAGAAAGAGAAAGGAAGGAAGGAAGGAAGGANGAAGGAAGGAAGGAAGGAGAGGAAGGAAGGAAGGAGAGGAAGGAAGGAAGGAGAGGAAGGAAGGAAGGAAGGAAGGAAGGAAGGAAGGAAGGAAGGAAGGAAGGAAGGAAGGAAGGGAAAGAAAGACAAAAAGAAATAAAGAGAGAAATAAAGAGAGAAAGAGGGAAAGACAGACAGAAAGACAGACAGAAAGACAGACAGACAGACAGACAGAAAGAAAGAAAGAAAGAAAGAAAGAAAGAAAGAAAGAAAGAAAGAAAAAGAAACGACAGGAATCTTCCCCCTGGAGTAGTTCAGGTTATAGAAGAGCGTTGTCAAAACGGGGAGACAGAGCATTTGGGGCAGTGGCGGGGACCGCGTAAAAGTCCCCTTATCCACTAGCACGTGGGTGGGGGGACTGTGTTGGACCCAGGCTTAGTGCTTTTTCTGTGCAGCCTCTTCTGGTTGCATTCTCTCCTCCCTCCACCCCGACTTCTCCCTCCGCAGTGGACGACCCTTCCCCTGGCACGTGTCTGCGCTGCTAGCTGCTCATTTAGAGCCGAAGAGGCGGGCTGGGAGAATGAATTACCGTATCTGAGGGCTGGGGGTGACGGCGGGGCCGGTACTCGGGGCGCCAGGCGGGCGCGGAGGGGAGACGGACAATAGGCAATCAGCAGACCCCGGGGCTGGGGCGGGGGTGGGGACGCCCACAGGGAGCGCGCTCCCACGCGTCCCGGCCCTCCCCAGCCCGCAAGCCTCTATTGTTCCTTGGCTCCTCCTCTCCCGCCCGGACCTCGGAGCCCAGCTTGGCACCGGCCGTAGGGAGTTGGCGAGGGTCGGTCCCGGCCGCTACAGAACCGGTGTCCTCTGTGCAGGCCTCGCCCCTCCACCGTGGCGCGCTTCGGCCCAGGGGTCTGCGCGTAACGGTCATACGGCCCGCCCTCCCTTGCTCCCAAGTCTTTCATCATCGGCTCCCCGGCCGGTTCCGGTAATGAGCTCCTGGTCCCGCGCCATTGTGTGCTGTTAGGGTGAAGCCGGGTCTCCGCGGTGCGATGGAGGGTGACCGCGCGCGCGGCTGCGACCCCCGCTTCACACCTGCTCCCCGCCCCCAGCCCGGGGCCAGCGCGGGTGTGTCCTCTCCCTCCCCGCGGGAGGGGTCTCAGCTGGGGCTGCACTTGGTAAAGAGGCCGTGGAGAGGACGGCGGCGGCCGGAGGAGCAGCTATAAATTTGGAGCAGATGCGGCCTGACAGTCACCCAGCCTGGGGAGGTGGGGGGAGGGCTCTGCGCCCCTCCCAGGCCCCATCTTGGAGTCTGCAGCTGAGTTAGACGCGCTCCGGGCCGAGGTGACCCGGGCCTTTGGACAGACGGAGACTGTCCCCTCGACTCACCCGCGCTTCTGCCCTTTGTGTGTCCACGTGGGGGGAGGGGAGGGGAGGAATGGAAGTCAGGCAGATGCCTGAATAAGCTTATTATTTTTTCCCTAAAAAGAGTGGTGTGTATGTGTTTGTTTGTTTGTTTCCCAGAAGAGACTGACAAAGTCTTTGCCCCTGGCTTTGAGCTGGCACTTCTGAGCAGCAGCTACAGGAAAATATGGGCAATAGCCAAATATG